CAGAAACAGGGACATATAACCCTTCTTGCGCGAGTTATCAGAAAAAAAAAACTATCGTACTTAGCACGACATGGAGGAGCGCGGGTCGGAAAGCTGCTTGCATGAGATCGAGACGCAAAAGCATCACCGCCTGGATGTATCAGAGCCGTAATTAAATACATCACATTACTGAAATTATTTACTTCCACCTTGTGGTTACGTACACACACACGTACACGCACTCACACACGTCCAAACTTATTGACATTGACGGTGACGCCCCCTCAAAGGTCTAGAGAGGCGATCATGAGTACCTGATGTCGCGTCATTGTGTTTCAAGTGTGTCATCCTCTCCCGTCTCTCTCTCTCTCTCTCTCTCTCTCTCTCTCTCTCTCTCTCTCTGCCCTCCAACGCCGCCCCCACGTCATTGTTGTACGCCCTGCGACAATCACACCTCTATGGCGACAGTTCCAACAAAGCGCCACCCCGTATGTGTGTGTGTGTGTGTGTGTGTGTCTGTGTCTGTGTGTCTGTGTGTGTACGCGCCTGTGTGGGGAGACGCCCATAGCCTCTGCATAATAATAACCATCTCAAAAACAAAGACCCGAAGGACGCGAGCGCCTCGCAGCATCCGCCGCCCGGCCCGGCCCGCTAGTGTCAGACCGGCGTCATCTGGCTGGTCCATGGGCCGGACGGAGGCCGGACACCCGCGGACACCGGCCACCTTGCTCTGGCCCCACGCCCGCGCCGCGCCGCGCCCGGCCGGGGCCCCGCGGCTCCCACTCGGCGTGGGCGTGCGCGGCGGGGGCGCCACTGGGGGGCCGATCAGACGGTATTCGACTTGATCAATAATTTTCTTCGCACACACCGACCGCGCGACTTTCCCAATCGCGTCGGCTGGACGCGGCCCCGGCCGCTACCGCCGCTACTACTGTACGAGGAGGGTATCTCGGAGCGGCCGAAAAACTCCGCCGATGGGACAAAAACAAACAGCGGGTGGACCTCGGCGCCAACGGGCCGGGCGCACCAGGCGAGCACGTGCTCCGCGGATGGTTCTTCAGTAACTGCGCCAAGGACGAGTTCAAAAACCTGATTGGAGAGGAGGCCCTCTTACCTATTGGGCACGATAATCAGTATTACGGCAACATTTATGTTATGGCTTGTAATTTGGGAGGTACATTTGGCTGGGGATGGAGAGGAGACTTTGTACCTGAACAGAAAATGTAACCTAAGTACAGACGACAAGGTTATAGTTTCCAGCACAGCCGAAAGAACAGTGCAAGTAATTGTTATTTTGAATTTTGAAGAATATTCTTGTCTTGTACCGTAACGGGCACCCTAAGAACCGCTAAGAACAAATTTACTCAATCAATGGCCCATGTCAAGAACAGTGCAGTACAGTACCATGTAGACAATTGACTTGAAAGCTCAAAAATCAAGCACAATTTTACTAGGTGCATTGCATACCAGAGGTGCAACATGCAGCATACAAACTAAAACTTATAACATCTGATACCATTTCGCAGCAATTTGTTGCAGACGTGTGCAGTGATAATTGCTGCGACACACACACACACACAAACACACACACACACACACACACGTTCAGTTGGCGACCTGTTCTGTTTAATGCACACGGGGGGCAGTACGCAACGCGGGGTGGGACGGCTGCCAGGCTAACATTCCGTCGTTTGAAATGAAAGTGCTAATAAGAACAAATAACAGGCAAAAAAAGGGTATGTAAGATGCAAAGACTTGTACTTGAGTTTGTACGGCCGGTTTTCTAACGCTGCCGCCGCAGCGCACATCTTTTTTGGTTCCCCTGCCACGCCACGCTACGCCCCAGACACGCGTACAAATTACACTGTACTGTGCGCTGTACGGCATTGTCTCCCCCCCTGCTCTCTCTCTCTCTCTCTCTCCACACACACTCACACCCACACAGACCCGTGCAGGAACCTAACACGCGCGGACCGCCGTCATCGGGTCGTGATTCGCCATCCGATACGCCATATTTCGTGCGGCTAGAACCACATTTACTCTGCATGTTTAAGGTTATTGAGACCGAGTTTATTACACACAGGAGAGCACATGTTTGTGGTTTTGTTCTTTTAGCCGCTTTATTATTTTTTTGAACTGTGTCTGCTGGGGGCACTAGTGTGGTTAGTTGTTATTTAGCAAGTTATTAAGTCACTTGGCGTCTTCGACTCGGATCGCTTTTTAGGCGGCAGATAAATCACATATCGAATGGACGGGCGCATCTGCTGGCCGCTTGCTCGTCTACTGCTGCTGCTGCTGCTGCGTTTGCCGAGGGAAATTCAAATCACCCGCCATCCATCATAAATAACCCGCTATCGCTAAAACGTCCCAAACAGCGTCCCCAACAGGTGCGGTGGCACGGCGCAGCGGCGTGCCTGCGTGCCCAGCAGCTGCCGCGAGGAAGAGGGGCCGGCCGGTCCACGACATACTATCGGTCAAATTAATACAGTAGGCGCCATGCCCATGCAGCGCCCGGCGTGATGTGGTGAAGAGATTGGAGGGGCGGTGCGGGGGAGGGAAGGGGGACAGCTTCGGCTCGCTGTCGCTGACCTAGCCAATTCACGCTGCCCCGGGATGACTGCATGGGCCCTCCCCGCAGCCTCCTCGGGACAGCCCGGCCCCGGCGGCGGGCGGCCCCAGCGTGCAACAACTCTCTGAATATAATTTTTTTTTTTTAAAGTTCGCTTTTTAAAGAAGTTTAGCAGAAGTGACACATTTCTTAGCTTGTACAGCTAAAAGAAATCGGCGGGCAGTGAAAGACATATTGAAACAGTTGAAACAATTTGCACATTTAAACACAAATTACTGGGTAAGAAAATGCACGAAATGCTGTGTTTATTTAAGTATAAAAGAACAGTGATATAGCTATTCTAAAATTTAAAAAGATTAACTGCATACCGATACAATCAACAATCAACTGTAATTAGAATTTGAAAAATGGATCTGCAAACAAAAGGATGCCAAAAAGAGAAAAAAACATTGGCCTATAAGACTTTTATTTAATAATAATGATTTGTGAAACCTTTTTCTTATACTTGTCACCTCTAGAAAAAAAAATTAACCAGTTATTTGTTTAAACCGAATATTAGTCATTCTGACTGACACCATTTCACTTGACCGTGCGAGTAAATTAAATAAAAATATATGGCATATATTTTCAAACCGGGGGGCATAATCGCAAACCATATCCCTGGGCTGGTCACTTTCCCCGCTAACCGCCTGGTCACGGTCACGGTCCTGGCCGCACACAATGCCGGCACGCGCTCACACGCTGACCACTCACTGTTTACCAATACACGCCGCTTATCAGTGTCGTACGACATGTGTGTGTGGGAGGGAGAGCGGGGGAGGGACCGAGGGGTCACACACACACAGCCACACTTTGACGGGTTCCGCGCCGCGAAAGAAAAGGGGAAGAGAGAGATAGAGAGAGTGAGAGGGACTACTATCACGACATGCTTTCCAAGCGCATTATGTGAATGGTTGCCATGTGTGCGGTTCGTGGGAGGCCCGGGCCGAGCCGGCGTGGCGCGGAGCGGCGTGTGCTCTGGCGCTCGCTCTGGCGGCCCCCGCGCGCCCCGGCACCTCTCTGTCCTGCTGTCATCTGTTTGGGTCGAGAGAGGCTGATGACTTACTCGCGATACGAATTTAAACTTTGTCTCCCCATCCGTTTCGATGCCATCGCCTCAACTCGTGCATCGTATGGGTTCAGCGGTGGGGCCGAGTCACAACATGTGGCCTGCATAGGACTGTAAGGTGAATTTAGATTGACAATTTGTTCAGCAAGAGAAGAATACACTTTAGTCTCAAGGTTGTTATTACAGTTGTGGGAATTTTCGAATTCCCTGCCACTTAGATGACTTTGCCGTGATCCCAATTACAAGCTTTTCTCTTACATTTTACTAACAATATAATGCATTTTGGTTTAACCTGATACGGCCACCTATTTTCCTAACTTTGCGATGATTTTCCTGACACGAATCGAATCAAAAATTTCATATTTGCAGACTAGTAACAAACCTAAATTTGAACAAGTTTAAACCAAACCTTGCCAGAATAAATATTTTATTTACACACAAAGGAGTTTTGGTAGACTTCATATGGAGCTCAAACGCAGAAAACAACTCTCTTCCTTTCCTTCATGTTTTTCAAAATTTCGAGTATATCTGGCCCTGCCGCGACGCGCGCGGCCCACCCCGCACCTCTTACGCCCACGTCGCGCTCCCCGCCCCGCCGCCGAGCCACGCCTGGCCGCGCCGCCCGACCTTTGGCCCGCATCAGCTGAGACGTGTTCCATAAACACGAGCAGCGGGTGATGAGAAGGATCCACTTTCATTAGAATTAATGTATTCCACGTAGCGCGGCGCGGCCACCCACGACACCGCGGGCCACGCTGCGCCGCCACGCGAGGCTACAGGACGCTGTGATCCAGTTCGAAGGATCGGCTAGGAAGGACCGCCTCCCCCACCCTTGCAGAAGGGCGATCGGCGGGCGCGACCCTCGAGCGGATGCTATCAGATTGCCGCCACGCAGCGGGTGCGCGCGCAACTGTACGCCAGCAGCGAGCTGGGCCCCCGAGGACACAGTATCGTGCATGTGTCCTTGGGAAATAATCAATTCCAGCCAATCACCAGGGCCGCTAAGCCAATCAAGTACCAATGTACCAAACAATGCGCATCGCAGCCACGGCGCGCCAAACCGGCCGCCCGCCCGCCTCCCACCCGCGTAGCAGCACGCGCTCTCTCTCTCTCTCCCCGACTCTCTCGCGCTTGCTCGTTGTCATGATAGATGATTGATATGTCAATAGGTCAGCCCGGGCCCGGGTCAGACCCAGGCCGGCGTCGTGGCGACGTCATTCAAGGAGTAGCGGTGAGGGGGCGGCGGAGGTGGCGCTATATTCGGCCGCGTTCAAAAAACATCACCACCTAAGACATGGAGTTATAGAAAGAAAGTTAGGTCCCGCACCGATGCATGGAACTTACCAATCTCATGGTGGAGGATGTGTCCGAGGCACTCCCGGGGGCACCCATACCGTGAGTCAAGCGAGTCCTCTTCTCTTCCGTCGCCGAAGTATAGAACTGAAAAGAGCAACAAAAAGTAGAACGAAAATTATCAACTGCCGGGACAAGTCGAACTTGATGCGACGTACCTTTACAATTACTTCCCCAAAGCTCATGTGTACTACACGTCTCCTCACGCTAACGTATAAGGAGATGTTAGGAAAAAAACTTAAACAGATTGAAAGACGCCATCGCGAGAGGGAGAGACGGATAGGGGGGAGGATGGGGG